AAACCCTAAACCCTAAACCCTAAACCCCAAACCCTAAACCCTAAACCCCAAACCCTAAACCCTAAACCCCAAACCCCCAAACTCTAAACCCCAAACCCTAAACCCTAAACCCCTAACTCCTAAACCGTAAACCCCTAAACCCTAAACCCGAAACGTTTAAAAATGAGGATGTGCACCAGCTTTCTTGGCCAGCCAGTCTCGAGCTCGGCCTTCAACGAGGCGGTCTGGGCTTCTGGGGAGTTAGGGGTTCCTTTAAACGGGTTCCTTTAAGGGATCTAAGGGATGTAAAAGGGATCTATAGGGTTTAGATTTTAGAGTTTAGGGTTTAGGGGTTTAGGGTTTAAGGCTTGGCGGTTTAGGGGTGCAGGGGTTTTTAGGGTTTGGGTGGGAACAGTTATTACTACTGAAATGCGACTACCCACCACCCTTACTGCATCATCCATCTACATCTATATCTGTCTACATATTTATGTGTGTATGTTTGTATCTATCTAGCTATCTATCTATCTATATACATACAACCATACTGAATGTACACCAACACCCTATGCTTTTTCTTTACGCCTCCTTGCCATGTTTTTTGATTCTCTTTAGAGTTTGCTTTAGACTCGGTGTTTGTAGCGTCGTGTTGGATTTTAGAGCCGGCTTTTTGGGTCTTCAAGAAGCATAAGTAAGAATAGGTTTTGGGGGTATGCGATCGCCAAATTGTATCGGGACTTTAAAATGGATCTTATTTTTACTTTAGTGGTCCGTACTCCTCTGATAGGATTTTAGGGGTTTCGGTTTAGGGCTTTTCTGTCTACAGCACAGGCAATGCAAAGTGTGTCGCTGACGTAGCTTTCACCTGCACGACGTACAACAGAACCATGACAGCAAGCATCGGCCCCACTGAGCCCCAATCCGATGCCTGTTCCCTAAACTGCACGGCCCGGAACCCAAAGCCCTAAACCCTAAACCCTAAACCCAAAGCCCTATACCCTAGACCGCAGTAGACCATGCAGCGTTAACCCGCAAAGCCTGCGATTCAGAGCCCTGGTATGAGGGTTCTGGGTATACATTGACCGAGACTCAAGAAGTCTTGATGTGGGGTTTAGGGGTTTTGGGGTTAGGGCTTCGGGTTTCGGGTTTAGGGCTTCGGGTGTAGGGTTTAGGGCGTTTGAGAGGCGGCGTTGGGCAAAGATCCCCCGGAACGGATCGCCTTGCAGATTTTCGAGCAGATACGACGCCCGGAAGTCATCTTTAGTAGCTTTAGGGCTCCGTGCAAGGATCTGGTGTCTGGGGAAAATATGTTATATTATACTATACTATACTATACTATACTATACTATAGTATACTATACTATACTAGACGAGAATATACGAAAATCTACTATAACATATTGCAAGATTCTCTGAAATGCTATAACATTATCTATTTCGAGATACTAAACCCTAAACCCTAAACCCTAACCCCCTAACTCTTATAGTTCTGCTTGAAGATGGGCTGCTGCATTTGGTACGCGAGGCTTCCTTGGGTTGGATCCCCGGCTCTGCTTGGAGGATCTTGGGACGTACGGTTGATGATATAAATCCTGCATTACCTTAAGGACCCTAAACTATGGGGAATTAGGGTATATTGCTTATTATGGGTCATGCAGGATTTTCTATCATCAACAGTAGTAGGTGTGGTTATACGTACTTTATTATTGGTCTTATAAGAAATTTATTGGCACTATGAGTACTTTATTGGGATCATAAAAAAACTTTAATGGGGCTGTGCATATTTGTTTTGGATTAGAAGTATTTTGTTAGGGATTATAAGTATTTTATTGGGGTTAAAAGTATAGTGACCCGAACAATAACCCCAGAAACTAAGTCCCATGATCCTTCAAGCCCATGATCCTTCAAGTGGTCACCAAGGAAAGGTCGATTCGCGAGTGCTGACCTTCTGCCTTTTTTCAGGTGCCTTGGGTGTTTAGAATTTGGGGGTTCAATGTCAGGGTTTAGGATTTATGTTTTAGGGGTTTAGGCTTTAGGGTTTATGGTTTAGGGTATTGAGATTGATCGTGCCTTGTAGCAAGTTTGACACTATAAGGGCCGTTTTCCGCAGTTTGGAAATGACTCATGTTGATAAGATACCTTTCGTCCTGTGAAGCCCTACAACTTATAAGCCCTAATCCCAGACCCCTACATCCCATGTCATTTTTCTGCCTCTACAAGGAGAGCCAAGCCTGCTAGCAGCATAGTGGAAAAGACCACCGTATAATATTATATACTACAGTATACTTTAATGTATTCGAGTATAGTTACTCTTTAACACACTACAGGCTACTATAATTACTATAATATACTATAAAACACACGGTAACTATACTAAAACATATACAATGTTCTATACTTTTCGATCATACACGATAGTATACGATGTAAAACACAGTATACTGTACCATGCATATGCGAAAACCTACTTTACTATGTCCACGAGCTCCTCATCCGCTAGCCTGCTGCGCATTGTAATCACTGAAGCTGCTCTTGAATCTGCAAGGTTCCGTTTGTCTTTTCCCGGTCCGGGTTGGGTTCACGCCTTAAACCCTAAACCTTAAACTTTAACTTAAACCTAAATCCTAAACCCGAAGCTCTAAACTTAAAAACCTTAACCCTCTGGCAGGCTTTGCACTTGGCCTGCTTTCCACTCTCCTCTGCATCTTTGGTTGCCGGCGCTGTCTACTGGCGCTGCACGCAAGATGCACACTCCTTCGCTGTAGCTGGGACTTTGCATGATCTTTGTTTTGTATACGTACAAAGTTTGTGGCGCCCCGAGATCTTGCGGTGGTCATCGATTTTCGAAGGTTGGATCTGGGTTCGTGCTGATTACATTTCATTTGCAGCTAAGCCCCCTTTAAAACGAGAAGTTCAACACCCGTTGACCGGAACCCTGGCCACTCTGCCTTAAGCCCTAAGCCGTAAGAAGCGACAGGTGTGGTGCTAAGTGGGCTGACCCTGGCACTCTGTTTGGCCGGCGTGCTCAGCCTTAGTGATGGCTGTGTTTCAGGCGCTCCGCGCGGTGCTTGAGGTTTGGTTTAGGGTTTAGGGTGTAGGGTCTAGGGGGCTCGCATGTTATGGGTTGCGGACAGATTGAGATACGTAGTTTGGATACACTTCAGAGAGATCGTCCCCCTTCTGAGTTAGACTTGCTTCAGGGAGGAGCGTCGTAACTCCAAGGTTCAAGGTTTAGGGAGGTTGATGTGTTGTGGAGAAAGAAGCGGGGTAGACCCGTCGGAGAGTTTTGTGATCACCTGGGCTTCGAAGCTCAGAGCCCAGCGAAGCCCGAAGCAGACTGTAACATAGACGGCCACAGAGTACCCAGTAATCCCTATAAGACGTTGTAACTCCTTGCGTTGTCTGAGTGCACCTTGCCCAAAGATCCGAGCAGCGAAGCTTTTGCAGGTGATGGCAACTGTCATCTGCTGGCTGGAGTGCAGAAGCTTTGGAAGCAGGGTCGCAGGATGCATTCTTGCTTGCTGGGCTGTCTCGTTAACAGCTCGGGGGTGGATACTGGATTACACAGGAGTGTTGAGGAATGCTGAGGGCCTCTGACCGTTCGTTCAACCTGCGCTAATGCAGCATTCAATGCCAAATCCTGGGGCCCAGAATCCATCGGCCTCTGTGTTCTGTGCTCGTTCCAGCAGCGATGTCCTTTCTTCAGATTTTGATGCAAGCGGGTTGGCACCTGTGAGCAGGTTCAACGCCCGAATGAAAGTTCTGGGTAGCACACGGCTACAGGGGCAGCTGCTAGTAGCGACAGCCATCGCCGGAGTGGTACTTGGCTGTGTAGCTGTAGGCATAGCAGGAGTAGTAGCGCAACCATCAGGGATTGAATGCTTCGTATTAGTGCATGTGCTAGCAAGTCTCGACTTGAATGTGCTAGTGCTTCGACAAGTTGCGTTCCAAAACGTCAGGCAGATCTTTTGAAACCGTACACCACATACCTAAAACCCGAAACCCCAGACCCTAAATCCTATGACCTAAACCCCTAAACCCTTAACCCTAATTCCGGAGCCTACCCCCACCAGACTTCCAAAACCCTAAACCCTAAACCCTAGTTCCTAAACTCTAAACCCTAAACTTATCGACCCTAAAGGGAGACGTTTTCTCGACCCTGCAACCCTGCAGAGCAGGACCTTGATGCTTCTTCTGCTTTCCTTCGGCTCCTGGGCTGCTGTTACGGAGTTTGTTGTCAGTTACCACAAAGGGGAAATATATAAAAAATAATAAGGTTACCTATACAAAGGAGAAATATAGCAATTAATATGGTTACCTATCAATATAGTAGTACTTACTGTGGGTTGCCCATACATGTAGCATTTAATCTGGTTCCGCCATAGCTGTAGTAATTAGTTTGGTTCCGCCATTCTGGTAACGTGTCATAGAACCCTGAACCCTAACCCATAAACCCTAAACCCTAAACCCTAAACCCTTACACCCCCTGAACCCTAACCCATAAACCCTAAACCCTAAACCCTAAACCCTATAAACCCTTACACCCTAAACCCTAAACCCTAAACTCTTTGACAGCAGCCCAGGCTTGGGAGCTTTCAGCGCGACTGCTTCGTCCTGTGTGGACCAGAGGTCCAAGCCCTACCTTCCTGTCACAGAGTCCCAGGCACCTGGCAGGGAACAAAAGAGAGTTGTTCGCTAGACCCTAAACCCTGAACTTTTTGGGATTTATGCAGTTTTGGGTATTTGGTTTTAGGGTGTTTTTTAGGCCAAGCCCATAAGGGTTGTGGGGTTTAGGGCCGCTACTTGTCCTGCGAGGCTTTGGGGTGTACGGTGGAAGCTGACCTCGAGAGCTGAGCTACACGTTTTGTCTTGGGAGTTCACTGAACCCTAAACCCTAAACCCTAAACCCTAAAACCCTAAACCCTAAACCCTAAACCGCTGTAGAGAAGGTCGGCTGGAGGGTTTGGAACCTTAAGCCCTAGGCCCTACACCCTAAGGCCCTAAATCCCTAACTCACGGCTTCGGGTATATGGTTTAGGGTTTTTGGTTTAGGGCCCCAGCCCAGGACACTATCGGAAAAGCCCGCACAGGAAACCACCTATATAGCCTCTTGCATTGATATAGTCGCTAGAACAATTACCGATGGCTTTCCCCAGAGTTCCCTGCTATAACCACACTAGTGACAATATACTCTACCTCAAAACCTCATTCTGATTCTTAGCGCCCCTATATTCCCTAAACCCCAAGCCCCAAACCCTAAACCCTAAACCCTCTTTATTGCCAGGTGGAGCCTGATGTGAGAGAAGCTGCACTGGGCCGGCTCGGCACATGTCAGTCTCGGCTGTGTAAGGCCAGGGTCTCGATGAGATGATTCAGGGGTTAAGCCCAAAACCCAAAACCTTAAACCCTAAGCCCTAAGCCCTAAACCCTAGGCCCTAAACCCGAAACCCTAAACCCTTAATCAGGGTCTAGGGGTTGAGGGGTTCAGGGTTTAGGGGTTGAGGGCTTGAGGGGTTGAGGCGAGGGGTTGAAGGGAAGGGCGCTACAGTACCCAATCAAGAGGCATAGGGCTGGGTTTACGGTTGAGGGGCTTGCTGTTGGGGGGACTGGCGTTCGGGTGTGTTTGATCTTTCAGGGTGTGCAGGGCTGTTGGCACTGAGGGCGGTTGGCTTCGGGGAGCGAATATACAAGTCCAAGATGAATCCTTGGGGTGCCTTATTATTATAGTTACACTTTTGAGGAGCCCGAAACCCCAATGATTCAGGCCCCGGTATTCCCGGTGTTTGGAGGATTTTAGGTCAGCACAACAGGTCAGGAGGCTATTGAGGTCCGGGCCCTGCGGTTCAAGGGGTTTTAGTCATAGTTGTGCTTTAGGCAGACTTCGCCACCTCGCCTCCTTCCCCAACAGCTTCTGACATCTTGACCCGATGTTTAGCACTGTGGGGGGTTTATTGCTTAGGTAGATTGGAGAGCACCCCAGAAGCAGTTTTCACTCCCAAGCCCTCAGTAGCAGAAGGTGCGGAACCCTAAGCATCCCACCCCTCCCGGCCCCGGAAGAATAAAACAGCAGAGCGAGGCAAGAATACCACCTAAAGCAGCGGAAGGTACGGTTGGGTAAACCCTCGACCCTAAACCCCACGCCCTCTCCAAAAAAGAAAAGCAAGAACAGCATCTAAAGCAGCAGAAGGTACGGATGGGTAAACCCGAATTTCACCCTTAAGCCCCACCCTCTCTACCAAAGAAGCGCAAGAACAACACCAACAGTTCCCAAAGCAGCAGAAGGTACGGATGGGTAAAACCCTAAACCCTTCAACCCCGCCACTTCTCAACAAAAAGAAAAGCAAGAACAGCACCTAAAGCAGCAGAAGGTACGGATGGTAAACCCTAAACCTAAACCCACCACCTCTCAACAAAAAGGAAAAGCAAGAAGAACACCTAAAGCAGCAGAAGGTACGGATGGGTGTCTTCACCTGCCTCGTACTCTCAGTTGCCGGGACCCTGGCTTTCAGCCTCTACCGCGCCTACAAAGGGACCTGTCAGCTAGCAGCGGACCTCCAGGTGCCTCAGAGACGGCTTGGAATGTAGGCTTTAGGTGGGTTTGGGGTCCGGGGTTAGGGTTTACGGGTTCGGGGTTCGAGGTTTTGGGTTTAGGGTTTAGGGCCTGCGGCTTGAGGTTACGGGGTTTGGGTGTAGGGTTTAGGGGTTTGGGTTTGCTCGGCGGTTTGTTGGGTATAGGGTTAGGGGGATTAGGATTTCAGAGTTTCGTGCTTTTCGTGTCTTGGCCCAGCGTCTAGGAGCCAGGACACTTAGACTCAACTTCCGCCGGGGATCTGCCCCTGAGTCCTGTGCACTCCCAGAAGCCTTCAGATTCTTCTGAGGGCTTCTTCTTATACATATACCAATATCTACCCCAAAGCCCTATTCAAAGTGTTAGTGTTGCGTGTCTCCCACTCTCTGATAGAGGATCTTCGGATCATCTACATCACACGCGCGCAGCCCCGGAAGTACGGGACGCGCTTACAGGGCCAGCTGGATACCTGGATGAACGACATCCCCAGGGAGGACGGTCCTGGGAGTCGAGGTGTCCTTTGAGGTCTTCGGGATTCTGGCTTAGGGCATTTTAGGTATGTTTAGGGTAAAGGGTTTAGGGCTTAGGGATGTTTCGGGTTTAGGGCCTAGCGATGTCTACAGTTTAGGCTGTAGGGCTAGCACATTGGCAATGGGCTTGCGATTTTGCTTGCAGGGCTGTTGGAAACTTGGAAAACTTAAGATGCTCCGCTCCACCCCCAACACGCAAGTCTGAGCAGGACCTCTTTGTGACGTCCTTCATGCTTGCAGCAGACAAAGCGCTGGCCAAGAGGGACATGCAGTCGGTTCATGACTCCTGGCTATGTTTCGAAGAGTAGGCTTCGATAAATATATATATTTTAAAGATAACTTAGATAAAGGGCTTACGAATTCTCGAGCTTCGAGTTTTCGAGACTTTGGAGTTCTTGCTTGGTCTTCTCCGTTTGGCTGCACGGTGAGATTTAGGGTCTTAGGGTTTTCGGCAGGACTCGGCAAATCCATCCCAGCCCTTCAGGATTCATTTAGCACTTTTACACATGTATAGACATTGACTATTCAGGCTGATGGTTAAAAACCTATCGTGATCCCTATAACGCAACTCGTTCCGGGTTTCCCAGGCCACAAAGCCAATGATACCGCATGGCATGAGCCCGAAGGCCGTAAACCCGAAGCCGAGAACCCGAAGCTGCAAGTAAATGTTTGCTGAGCCCTAAACCCCAAACTCTACTGTAGAACCCTAAACAATAAACCCTAAGCTCTAAAACCCTAAACCCTCAACCCTGAACTCTAAAAAGCCCTGCAACCTATTATCCTCGCGTCTGTTGATAGCAACTGTAGTCGTGCAAGTCTCCCCAGGAATGCTCGTGATTTTGCCATTCCTACAGCATCATTCGTAGACTTATATAGGCCTGGATGATGATAGGGATGATGATGGCAGACGCAAATTACGTGACCATCAATGTCAGGAGCAGATTGCCAACAACAGCAAGTATAGTCAACGATCCAGTTCTTAAGTCACTTTTCTTCAGGTTTTACACATCGCTTGTTTAACTGATACAGGGGTCGGAACACCTGGAAATAACATTCTCTTATAGTCCCGACTCATCCATACTATTGCCCCAGAACCCTATCCTGATTGCATAGGCCCCCATATCAACGCGAAGCCGCACATAGTTTCAGGGCTCCATCTGAGGAGTTCCAGTGCCCGGACAACCACGATATGGGTGCATCTGGGACAGCAACCCATTCCGCCCCATTTCTACTCCTCTACCTCCTCCCCTACTACTTGCTGCTGCTGCTACTGCTACTGTTCTGCTACTGCTAGTGCTACTATTACTACTGTTAAATGCAAACTACGAGTACGACGACGACGACCACTACTACTACTACTACTACTACTACTACTACTAGACTACTACGACTACTACGACTACTACGACTACTACGACTACTACGACTACTACTACTACTACTACTACTACTACTATTACTACTACTACGACTACGACGACGACGACGACTACTACTACTACTCCAGCTGCTGCTGCTGCTGCTGCTGCTGCTGCTGCTGCCGCTGCTGCTGCTGCTGCTGCTACTGCTACTGCTGCTGCTGCTGCTGTTGTTGACGGCTAGCACTACAGTAGTCACTACAGCGCTTCAGTGCCTCGCCTTTGGAAGGTCTGCTGTGTCGAGGCCAACGCCCTCATCCAGATGAAGAGTCTGGGCTCTGATTGGACGTTTGCTAGAAGGTTCCTTTCAGGGTCACTAGAAGGGTTGCTGCACAGGTTCCTTTCAGTTCGACAACCTTTCATATACCGTGGCCCCCCCTGGAAAGAAATCCGACACGTGAGCATCTCCAGGAACCGTACTTTCGACTGGGTCTTCATTGTGGATGATGACGTTTACGTGGTGGTCGACAACTTAAGGCCAGAAAGCCTCACGCGTTTGGTGTAGCACAGGTTGTTTAATCCTAGGCTTTGGAGCGTAGGGTCGTTTAATTCAACCTGTCGCGTGGCTCGAGGATAAAGGCTTGACTGATGTACTGCTTGACTTGCGGAAGGCTTTCGGGGGTTTCAGGAAACCCTAGACTCTACACCCGAAGCCCTTAAGCCGTAAACCCCTAAGACCGTAAACCCCCAACCCCCCTGAACGCTAAAATGCGACAGCCCTAAACCCCGAACCCTAAACTCCTAAACCCTGACACCCTACATCCCTAAACCCTAAAACCCAAACCGTTCAGTTTCGGGAGCTCTCGGATTTTAAGAGCTCGGTTTACAGGCCGGGGCTCTTTGGAAGTCTCGGATCTCGGTAGCTGGTGGCCTGGAAGCTCTCACAGAGAGAGAGAGAGAGAGAGGGAGGGACAGTCAGAGGGTTCCGGCAATCGGGCCTTTAAAGGGTACTACAAGGGCCATACCGTACCATACCCGGGGTTTGGGTTTAGGGTTTAGGGTTTAGGGTACAGGGTTTAGGGGATAGGGTTTAGGGTTCAGTTTAGGGTTTAGGGTTTCAGGTTCCCAGACCCCTGCCGGGAGGATCGAACAAGTAGATCCTCTGATTTGGGACCCTATACTGCTACAGGGTACTTTCTACCAAGCCCCTTATTGGATCTACTTGTTGGATCCTCCTGGTGGGGGTCTAAGTCTAGGTTGAGGGTTCCTCCGACAATGGGGCCTTTAAGGTTCCCCGGTTTGGATCGAACATTCAGGAGTTGTTCTGGCGGGTCCTTTCTCGGCGTCCTTTTTCAACTAACTCCTTGATGCGCTCGGGACCTCACGAAGAGCCTGCATGAGCGAGTTGTCGCCAACATGAACTAAAATCCACACGCATCCTTGACCCCTAAAGCCTCAATCTATCATCTTGAACAGGGACCCTAAACCCTAAACCCTAAACCCTAGAAGCCAAGCTCCCAAAGTCCAACGGAGGCTTCTTACGCAAAGGAAACCCCCCTCCATCCAAACGACCGTCCTCAGCCCCCAGACCTGAAACTGTCGGATCCAAGCCATTCTCAGTAAAGCCCTTTAGGGTTTGGGGTTTAGGGTTTGGGGTTAAGGGTTTAGGGCTTAGGGTTGCCTGAACCCTCGATTTTTACCCCAGTCTCGAAACCCTCAAGCTCTATGCCTCGAACTTGTTTCAAGAACCCTAGGCCCACTTCAAAGCCCTTAAACGTGAGCAAACCCGAAGAGCCTACTAAACCCTGTCAAAAGCCTCTAAAACGCAGGCCTTAAAGCTGTTCAAACTGGTTTCCAAACCCTTCCCAAAACTCGGAAACCTCAACGCCCCAGCAAGCACGAACATCAGAAAAAACTGCAACCTCCACCTCGGCGCCAACCTTCAGAGCCATCCTAAACCCTAACCCCTAACCCCTAAACCCTATATGACCTCAACCCGAAACGCGGTTTGGGGTTTAGGGGTTTAGGGTTTACGGTTTTGGGTTAGTGGTTTAGGGCCTAAGCCCCGAACCCTAAACTCGCCTTCAAAATCCCACACAGTCCAGGCGCGTGCTGGCCCGCCTTCATCCCCGATGGCAGCTGCAGACAGCGGCTTTGGGATATGGCATCACAGGTCCCCTCAAGGGTTTGGGATTCAGGGGTTTAGGGTTTAGGGGTTTGGGGTCTGGGGTTTAGGGTTAAGGGTTTAGGGGTTTGGGGTTTAGGGCTTCTGGGCTTAGCGGTTTGGGGGTTGGGGCTGGGCCACCTAACCCCTAGACCCTAAACCCTAAACCCCTAACCCCCTAAACCCTAAAAACGTAAATTCGGCCCTTATAAACCATGACGTCGTCCTCGGATGGACCCATGCGGCAGTGGTAAGTTAAGTTGAGGGCCCCGTGGGATTTACTGTCACAAAGTAGGGGGTGTTTCGGCTCTGGGGCCCTTAGCTTCGGGTTTTCACGCTTCGGGTTTAGGGTTTAGGGTTTAGGTTTTAGGGCTTAGGGTTTAGGGTTTAGGGTTTAGGATTTAGGGTTTAGGGTTTAGGGTTCACGCTCACGGGGTTGCAGGTTGCGAGACCAGGCCCCCCTTGGCATTTTGGATGGCTTTGGAGGTGTAGGGTCTGGGGTTTAGGGTTTAGGGTAGGTGTAGGGTAGGGCTTACGTGGAAAGTCCGAAACGTGCGCAGGAGCAGTGGTCGTTCGCTAGTGGTGGGAGCAGCAGTAGCGGCAGCACCACAAAGGAGGAGTAGCAACAAGAATGATACCAGTAGTAGTCTCGGAGGCCTCAAAAGGTCGGATGAAGGTAGGTGGGAGATTCCCGAGTACTGGTCCTTATATACGGGATCCTCAATCCTACCTGCCTTCATCCCACTTTCCGAGGCCTCCGATAGTCGGAGGTCGTAATCGTCGACGGAGTCGTAGCACTGGAGGAACAAGACCTCTAAATGCTCAGCCCAAATGAGCTGTGCAACCAAAGAATCAGGCTGTGTGACGAAGGGCCGTCCGTGTGGCTTTTGCGGTGGTGGTGGCTACGCCTTGAGCGCGAAGGCTGTCAACCTTCTTGGGTTTGTCTTGAGAAGGTTTAGGGTTGGTGTCGACACGATCAGGGATTCAACTGATTGAGTTCTTTTTTGTTGCGAGCCTTATTGCGGCTTTTGCTTTTATTGCAAGTTCTGATGCCTGACTCGGTTGATACAGGGACATACAGGGACGAGACAGACGACGAGTCAAAATTGAAGCGCTCTTGGTTACGGCTCGGGTGCGACGTTCATTGAGGCTTCGTTTCTTTGGCTCCTTGTTTCCCCACAAACTGGATTTTTTAGGCAGGTTCAAAAGGCCATCCGGTTTTAGGACAAGGCATCCCTTCGTTTCGGGCAGGGTTTGAGTTTCGCAAGCATGCAGAGCTTTCAGAGTGGAACATACTCTAACACCCCCTAAGCCATTGCAGCCAATGTTTGTGCGGGGCCAACTTGAATGAGCTTGGGAGGGCTACAGGTTGGGATGTGCGATGGCTTCTGGGTTCCTCCCTTTCGGGATTGGTGGCCCCGCGGCGCGACGAGGCTGTCCAGGTGCTGCTCGGCGATGACACGGAGAAGTTCATGCATAGGTACATGAACGACTGTCAGAGAACACGCTACTGCGACGTCACGACAGCACCCTGGCCACAGGGGTTGCCTGATTTCATGGGCTGAGGTCCTTCAGGAGTTTTGCAGCATTTTGGGCGTAAGGCCCCAGCAGTGATCCAATTACAGAAGAGTCAGAGGAGCAGAAACCACAGCAAAAGCAACTACAGCACATTGCCCTTGCTATTGCTCCGAGCAGCAGCAGCAGCAGCAGCTCATCGGGGTTTGGCAGCCAAGCGAGCTCAAAGGCAGTATAGGATTCCCGATCGTATTTATGGAAAACTTTACACCAAAACTTGTTCTAATTCTTCAGGTCCGTCTATCCTATATTGCACTTCTCGTGGTGTGACCTACGGACGAGCCTCTTGCAGGACAAAACGAGAACTGCGGCTGTTACTGCTCACCACGACCACGACGGCTATAAATTCGAATCGTCGTATTTGCTATTGCCTTTTGCCACTTGGGTTGATGCTGCTACATGTATATTCACATCACAAAGCAGGTATCTGTGTTTGCTGGTGCGTATTTCAAACAGTTGTTGTGACTTACGCTCATGCTTCTTATCGGACCATGTGGTTCTTGTTTGCATGCTTCGTATGAAGTAAATGTTTAGTATGGGTGGTAAGTGCAAGCGGCGCGTTCTGCAGAACGTGCTTGGCGGATGTGCAAGGCGCCCTGACGAGCATTGTCACCAGCAAAACTTCGTATCATGGCAACCACACGTCCAAAAGTCCTGGAATCCAAAGCCTCTAGACTCTAGACCCCTGTATAACACTATACCCTAAAAACCCTAACCACAAACCCCTAAACCGCTTCCCGCACACCAGGAGTGTTTGGCTGAGCAGAATGGCACCAAAGTTTTCAAGATGCACGGCCTCCACCCCTGGAGGGTCGGAAATCCGAAATGGAACTTGACAGCGGCCTGCCTGACAATGTACGTTTGTGATTAAAATTATGATTATGATTATGATGATGATGCTTACGATTATTACTACTACTATTATTTTCCCTATCATTCGGATTCGTTATTATGACGATTAACATTACTACGAGCTGATGATCATCTTGCCGAAGGTAGCTAGTAGCAGATTCCTGAACTCCAGTGCACTAAGAGCCCCAAAGCTCCCCCAAACCTGGATCCCAACCTGCATTAGGCGTCTGCGAACAGCGGCTTCGGGTTGAGGGTTTAAGGGTTTAAGGGTTTAAGGGTTTAAGGGCTGAAGGGCTTAAGGGGTTAAGGGTTTAAGGGTTTCAGGGTTTAAGGGTTTAAGGGTTTAAGGGTTTAAGGGTTTAGGGGTTTAGGGGCACGAGGTTTCGGATTTAGGGGCCCAGGGATATGCAAACCCGCAACCCTGGACCCTAGCTGTAGGGAAATGTCAGAGCTTTTTCGAGCCAACCTGGGAAGATGACGGAAGACCATGGCCTTCTTGTGAAGTGTCGGGTTTAGGGTCTAGGGTTTGGGGTTTGGGGTCTAGGGTTTAGGGTTCTGGGACTCCGGTCGTCTTGATTGAAGGCTTCGGGTCCAGTTTTCCTGGTCCGAGATCTGTGTTCCGTGGTGCGGCTTCCCACGGATTTCTGTTGATTCGTGCTCCTCAAGCCCCAAACAATTCAAGCCTCCACGAGCCCTGATTCGTAGAGCGTTCGGAGAAGCCTGATCTACCCGAAGCCCAAGTACTGCACCATAGAACCCTTAAGCCACTCCAGACCCCTAAACCCTAAACCCTAAACCCGAAACCCGAAACCCTAAACCCTACGCCCTAAACCCTAAACCCTAAACCCTAAGCCCTAAACCCTAAACCCTAAAGCGACCGGAATGATCTTCAGGCCTTGGAGGGCTTCTTCCATACTCCCAGTGGCACGCTGAAGGACGGGTTTAGCGTTTAGGGTTTAGGGGTTTAGGGTTTAGGGTTTACGGTCTAGGGTGCAGGGTTTAGGGCTTAGGG